GGATTTAATGTATAAACTTTAGTTGGTAAAGCCATTCTTAAGAACAACAAAAAAAAATCAATGATTGATTCGAATAGAAAGAAAAAACTTTATATACCTTGTCTGTGCTTGAACTAAAATATTGATAACTGTTGATTTTCCACCTCCTGTTGGTCCAACAACCATAGTTGAATGTCGTGTCATCATAGTTTCATATAATTGTACAACTTTATCAACTTGAACTTCATCAACAACATTATGCATATGTGCAATGGATTCGCGTACAGCTTTATCAAACATTGGATAACTAACACGGTCACATTTCAAACCAGGAAATAAATCTGTAATTAAACCTTGAAATAATGGTACATCTTCATAAACAAATTTTGGCATATTCATATCACGTAAAGCACGCATTAGTACAATATCCTTTATAAAAAGCAAAAAGTAAAGAAAAAACGAAAGAAAATTTTCTTTAATTACTTCGGGTAATTCAGCTGAACTTCGTTTTAATTCACCAGCCATAACTAAAACTGATTTTAAAGCTCGAAGACCAAAATCATAATGATATTGTTTTGATAATTGTTCACGAGATAATTTATATAAGACAACCATTTTTTTGGCTAACATCTATATATAGAAAGACAATATAAGTAAAAAAAATTCGAATTTGTTTTTTTAAATAACAAACTTTTGCTAAAGAAAATCCTTCTGAGAAAAGCATAATTTCACAAATTTGTTGTAGATCGGGTACAATGACAACAACTGGACGAAATAAAGCTTTAATTGATTCTGGTAATTCTGTTCGTCCAGCATAACCAGGATTCATTGTAATAAATGCTGCAACACGTGGATCAAGATCAATTTCAGTACCTTCAAATACGAAACGTTTTGCTTTACTAATAAGACCTTGTTGAATAGTTTTTAATTGTGATGATATAACTGATAATACAGATGCATCAATTCGATTGAATTCATCAAAACATCCCCATGCACCACTTTGACATAAACCATTTAAATTTTTTCCAATGGCCTAATGGAGAAAATAAAATAATAATTTTCTTTGATTTACTTTTTTTGTTTCAAATACTTACTAAACTATCCATACCTTCACCACAATTCGTTACCATACAAAGAATACCAAGTGCTTTAGCTAAATCTTTAACTGATTCAGTTTTACCAGTACCTAAATTTTTATTTTAAAATAATATAAAATTAATCTTTTATAAAACAAATTATTCATACCGGCAGGTCCAGCTAAAATAAAATAATTTAATTACTTTTATGAATTATATTAATTTTTTTCTACTAACCTGGTGCACAACCAAGATACATAGACAAAGCCTGTGTAATTGTTAAATAAATTCGATCTGTAAGTGGAGTAATAACTAAACGACCATTTAAACCCATATATTCATAACCATAACCGAATTCACCAGTACATTGTCGTATCATTAATTCATCAGGTTCATTAACCCAATAAAATCTCAATTGACTTTCCCATTCGAATTCACGTGCATCCAAAATACTTTAAAATTATTCTTATAGAAAAACGATAAAAACTTCATTTTATTCTTACCTATCTCGTACAAAACTATCAATAATATCTTTAGCATGTACATCAATAATAAGTACAGTATTAAATTTTTTTCGATCATTACTTGCTAACGGATTTCGAATCTAAATTGAAAGAAAATGAGATGAAAAAATTTATAAAAAAAATAAATATTTTACTTCAGCAACAACTTCTTCAATTTGACTATTAAGTTGTTTAGCATAATTTTTCATCGCCATTTTTTGTCCTTTTGCAACTAAAATATTTTAATAAAATAAATTTAAAAAAAATTTATATTTTTTAAATTCTATTTATACCTTTAGTAAAAGTATCTTCGACTTCCCAACTCCACCTAATTCAAATAAATAAATTAAAAATATTTAATTTTTTCTCTCTTTAACAAACCATATTTGATTAGCAGCTAGAACAACCATGCCTTGATAATTATACATCCATCCGGTACGTGATTTACGAAAACGATAATAATAAACAGCTTCTTTTGTAATCAATCGATTCGTTCGTCTCATTTCTTCAAGAACTTTTGTCATCCAATCTTCAACACGTCCTTCAGTAACAACATTTTGTTTAAATTGCATTTCTTCTTTTTCAGCTGATATCATTGCTTGTGCTTGTGTTACTGTATCACTAACTTTAATTAAACGTAAACTAGAAATATTATCAAACATTTTAATCATATGTTCTTGTATAGCTGCTGGTTCGGCTGAACCAAGTATGGATAAAAGTTCATCATCAGAGATAAAGAAAAATCGTGGAAATGCATTACGTTTTGAATCAAGATAATCATTTAAACTTTTTTGACAACGTTCAAGACCAACAAATATTGATTCAAGATCAGATAAACGACTTGGAACATGACATTGTTTTTTAATTAATGGTTCACGATAAGTATCGGTCATAATTGATTTAAATAATTTATTTTTTTCATCAAATTTTTTTGCTTCTTCAGGTAACTGTGAACGAATATCACCACTAACAAATATACCTTCAAGATACATCCATTTACGTTGTACATTGATCCATAATTCAATAACCTAGTAGACACATAAATAATATTTATTTCGAAATAAAAGATTTTATTTACTTCAGCAATTAATGATAAACTTTTTTCCCATTCTTGTACTGTTCGTAAAAATGGTCCGATATATCTTGAACCAGCCATACCTTGTAAAGTCATAGTATGATCATCTAATGTTTGTAAAACTTCATCACAAGCTCCTAATACATATCCTCGATCTTGATTTCCTTTAACATATTTAATAACAGTAAATTTCATCTTATCCCATGCTTCAACAACTTCTTTCACACCCTATATAAAATAATAATAATAATAAAAATCAAAAACGTTTTTTCTTTTACTTTTTCAATTTGAAGTTCTTTCGTAGCTGATGTAACAATATTCTGTATAACATCATTAAAACGTTGTAAATTCATTTGAAATAAATTTTCTAATGTAAATGATTCCGGATTCATATCAAATTCAATATTGGTTTCTTTCATAAGTGTACGCCAATGACGTTCGCGTAATGCTTCATTTTTCAAATCTAACATTAATGGTAATGATTCACGAAATTCTTTCATTCCTGTTTCAATTAATTTTGCTAATGGCATTCCTTTAACATCACGTGGCATTTTTTTTAATTCTTTAATAAAATTTTCAATTCCATCAATTAACAATTGAACATCTAAATCTCGCCATAAAGTTTCTGCCCATACTACACGTGATTTGATTTGTGATTCATATAATTGATATAATTTTTCTAAATTTTTCATTTCTTTTTGTATAACATATAATTCCGGATAGGATGTTATAGGTAAATTAAATAATTTTTCAGCATTTGTTAATTCTTGTTTTTCCGCTTCAAGTTTTGTTAATTCTTCACGATAGATTTTCATTAGTTTTAAACCTTGTGGTAATTCTTCAGCGGTTTTGATTGAACCAGGACCATGGCGAGCAAATTTATCGGCAAATGCACTGATGGATTTTTTCAAACGATCAAGTTGAATAAGAGTAATTTCAGTAAAACGACTTTTAACTTTTTTCAAATTAACATCACGATGTTTCGAATGAAGAAATATTGCTTCCCAACGACTTTTTAATGATTGAAGAATTGTTCTTTCTTCTTCAGTTGTCTATAAAAAATAAAATATTATTATTATTATATTTAACTGGATATTGTTTCTTACCTTGTAATTATAACATTCTAATAGATTATATTTATCTTTAACATCGTTTGTTTTCGCTTCAATAATATCTGATTGATTTTGAATTTCTGCTATTGTTCGTAAGACAAATTTTAAATCTTCAAGTGTTTCAGTTGATTGTTTAAGATTTTTCTCATATTCCTAAATGAACAGAAGAAATTTTTAGACGAAAAAAACTAAAATAAAATTTACATCAAGTTTATCACGTAATTCGAATAATCGTGCTTTAGCATCATCAGCCAGAAATTTATTAAACATATGAATAGTTTCTTTTGCATGGCCAACTAAATCGTTTAAGAATGATGTTAAATTTAATTGTGCAAAATTAAAATCTTTCAAACGATTCATCAAATTTAACTAAACAAGAAAAAAAAGATTATCATTTCTCGATATTTATTTAATTATAACATACGTCATTGAGATGTTTTTGATATTTATTGACTTCCTCATCAAATGCGCCTAATGATGGACTTTTTGCAAAGAATTTTTCACATACTGACAACTAGAAAAATAAATTATAAATATCTTATTAATGTTGGTTTCGTTCTTTTCGTCTTACTTTATCTGTACGCCATAGATGTTTAAAATCACGAAATTTCAATAAGAATGTCTTCATATTATTAATTGTATTTTGTATAACTGTTTGTGTTGCACCTGCAACTTCATGGATTTCTGGAATATAACGAATATCATCATAAAATGTATATATATGTTCAGCTTCTTGAGATGATGATGATGTAACCGATGGTTTTGTATTTGTTGCAATGATGGTTGATGAAGTTTCGAAATCTGATGTTCCCTGACCACCTGCAGTTGTAGCTGCACTTTGCGATTTATCATATTTAACTGGAGTTACTTCAATACACGAACCATCTTTCCATCGATAGAAATAATTGGTACTAGAATAAGACATATATATATCTTATATTCATTTATTAAAAAAACGTTTTTATAATGCATTCCACTATATCGTTATATTTTCAATCAATATTCTGTTCCTTCCAAAAGAAAAAACACATCTTATCTTATCCTTAACAATGATCTTAAATTTTATCAGTATTCGATAAATAACAATGTGATTGTCAATATATATGACAATACAAGTTCAGATGAGGAGGAGAAGAGAAAAGATAGAATTAAAAAACGTCATGAAGATTTCTGTACATTATAAATCCTATCAGACTAAGACACATATCACCAAAAAACAACAGTTTCGTGTAATCTGATATGTGCAAAAAGAAATTTATTTGAATGTTAAATCTTTCGCGCATAGATTTTCATGAGCAACAGCTTCACGCATTTGTAATGCTTTATTACGTAATTTTGTTAAATGTTGTTGTTGGCTATCAATAAGATGAATTAATTGTTTAGCATATTTTTCACGATCATAATTCATAAGTGTTGATGAATCAAATATTGTCTGATGGCTTGCAAGCATTTGTGGAAATTCATCAATATATCCATGATGAGATTCTAATGTTAAATCTTCAAGTTCATGTGAACGTGCAATAGCTTGTTCAAATTTACGTTTTGATTGTTGACTTTTCAGTAATGATTTACTAAGATTATGTTGTTGTGGATGTGGTTTAGATAAATGTGTATGTGATGGTGGTATTACTTGTGTACTTGATTCATTAAGAAATTCATCTTCATCAACATCATCATCATAATCATCTTCATCAGCTGTATGAAGATCATCATGAGTATGTTTTTGATGAAGTTCAACACCACGTTGTTTAAGTTCATCAACATTTAATTCTTTAACACGATCAGCATAACGTAATGTATTCAATGTATGATCAACATCACTACTTCCTGGTGATACCATGGCTATCATACACACTTTACATTTCTCACCAATAAATGAATCACGTAAAACTTTCGTTAATGTTGAACCACGAAATGGTATATGTTCAGCATTACGACCTAATGCACGTATACATTCTTTCAATGTTAATAATGATTTATTAATTTGTGCACCTTCCATTAATGTAACTTTATCATTTGTTTGTGTATCACGGCCACGTTCACTACCAGCTAAATCAATTAAGGAAATTTTTCCATATTCTTTCGTTGTATTTTTTTTCTTTAATGTTATCTGAAAGACAGCATGTGAACGTGATGAATGTTCATTGGCAGATGTTGTACCTGACGTACGAACACTCATTCCACGACGTATTAATGACATAACATCATGAACTGTTTCAACTCGTTCTTCTTTTTTACCAACAACTTGAACTAAATTTTTATGATCTTCTAATACACGTAAACGTTTTTTATCATTAAATAAATCAAATACTTTGGTACAATAAATTTCAAAAAATGTACAATAAACATCATATTGACCTCTATGTTGAGAATTATTTAAATGATGAAAAATATCATTTGCTGTTAATGCATAGATTCCTTTAGAAAAATCAACATCACGTTGACTTAAATCACCACCCATAGTATATGTTTTACCTAGAAATGAAAAAAGAAAGTAAATAGACAAAATTTTATTATTTTTTATTTTAAACTTACCAGAACCGGTTTGTCCATAAGCAAAAACTAATGGATTACATCCTTGAAATAATGAACGTACTAATGGTTGAGCAGTAAAATGATAAACTAATTCATTATCACATAATTCATGCATAGAATAATCAAAACGAAATGTTTGATTATCAATATATTTTGCTAAATCAAGTTTAACTTTCGGTAGATGTATAACAACATGATCTTTATTTGGTATTGTTAATACATCGATATCTTTTTTATTTAATTCTTTTTTTGTTATGGGTCTTTTACGTACACAAACAGTAATACGTAAATCTTTTTGTTGTTCATTCATTGTTATATATTTCATTCCAAGTTGTTGTCGATATTCATTTATCATCGCTTGAAATTCCCATGCTGGTATTGAATGATCAACTTCAGATAATTTTCGACGATGTTTTTCGTGTTTAACTCGTCTTTGTTCACGATTTGCTGCTATACGTTCGATTTCTTTAACTACTTTAGATTTAATTGGGTCAGTTGAAGCATTCTGTTGTCTTTGTGGTGAAACTTCATTTATCGTTGATATTCTACCTGTTCGAGATTGAGAAAGTGAATGTGATTGTCTTTTTTCATCTTTTTTATGAGTACGACGATTTGGATGTGTTGCATTATTATGATCAATAGTAGTAGAATTATCTTCATGATCAGTACTAATATCATGACTAATAGCACCAGCCCGAGAGCCCGCATTTGTTATTGTTGTAAAAAGATCTGGATTAATTTTAATAATAGCATCTAAATCAACTTCTTTTCCTTTGCCTTCATTCTTTTCTTCCCATTCAACGGTAATTGTTTGTACTGTATGATTAATTTTTTTTATCATCGCTTGATGTATACGACCATTTGATCGTTGAATATTAACTGGTTGACCAACATGAAGACAAGATAGATATTGTTGATGATTGTAACTCATTTGGAATTAGTTTTTTTGAAACATTAAATGTAAAATTTGATTGATTTAAACGAAATAACAAATTAATTGTTATTTTTTGTCATGGACGGATAGAACAAAATTTTATTTTTCTTCACTATGACTTCAACTTTACTATTTTTCTTCATTCTTTATAGCTCGTGTTTTTTTTATTCGGTATCGTTAAATGCAACGAAGCAACAACTCACATATAGATGTGATGAGAACGGTTGTTCATATTTTTCTAAGAGTAGGCGTTGCTTAGCGATTCTATGTAATGTCAAAAACAAGAGAAAAGAAGGAGAATAAGCCAGAAAAAAGAAAGAAAGAAAGGAAAGAATAAACGAGAATAATCATCATGAAATAAAAATAACTAATGTATTTTAAAAGGACAATATATAACATAATTTCAAATCCGATTACTATTTATCTTTTAAATAATTTTCCTTTTTCTTTTTTTTGTTCGTTGTTTTTTAAAAAAATAAAAATAAATTTTTAAACTTACACTTCAACACAATCACGCATTGTTTGACTAAACAATTTTATGATTTCATTTTGATTCGGTTGCATAGCTACAGCCGGTACAACAAGTAGAGCATCGACTTGAAACAATGGTTTAGAACCATTTTCTAATGTATCACGTAATGTTTTTAAGTTCTCTGTTACAAGCTAATAGACGAAACAAATTAATTTATTTATTTTTTGATGTCAATAATTTACTTCGGATAATGTTGAAAGTATTTGTCTTTCCCAATAAGCATAATAAGCTGCCATTTTGGATGATTGAGATGTATTTGTATTAAAAACAAGTCCTTCTACTTTTGTTATTAATGGACCAATTAGTTTATATTTTTTTTGTAATTCAAGTGCATCTTGTCGTCGTTGATATTCGACAAATTCAAAATATTCCTAAAGAAAATATTTTGAATGTTATCAAAAAAAAAACGGAAGAATATAATTACTCGACAATGTATAAGTGAACCATCGGCATTACGTGGTGGTTCACGAAAGAGATTACATTGACGAATTTCATCAAGAAACATATGAATATCTTGTGCATTCTTTTTTATTTGATTTACTGTTGAATCAAGTTTAGTAATAAGTTCAGATGTAACAGTAATGAATTTTTCATGATTCGTTGATGTCCATGGTAAACGTTGAGTACCTGTTTGCATATTTCGTTTTAATAATTTTAAATGATCTTCGAGTAAAGCTTGTTCATGTGGTTCAAGTGAATCAATAAGACGATTATAACTTTTAAGAACAATTTTTAATTGTGTTGCAATTTGTTTCAGTTTTTCTTCCTATTTAAATAAAGAAAATAGATTTATAACGATAAACATGAACTAAACTTACACTTAATGCTAAATGTCGAATAGTTTCTGGTAAAACATAATCAAATTGTTCAAGATATCTTGCTTCGGTTGTTATTTCATTCAACTGTGGATCATAATCAATCATATATCGAGGTGTAAAAGGATTTTGATCTAATAAAAGAAAATGTTTTTTTTATACATAATTATTTCATTGAATAACATACTTTCTGCAACTGGTAATTCTTTGAGTACATTACGTTTTTGTAATGATGGTAAAATTTGTTCTGTACGTGTTCGCCATTCAGTAAATTTTGCATCTTCATATGCTTTCATTTCTTTTGCTACTCGTAGATAGTAACTTTTAATCTATAATTAAATAGTATGAGTATCGATTGAAAATAAAAATCTTTTTTTTCCTACTTGTTTGCCAAATTCTGTTTGCATTAAAGCTTCTTTTGTATGTAAACGTAACATTGTATGTTTGATACGTCGAAATAATGAACGACTCCAAGCAATAGCACCAGAATAAGGTGGTTGATTTTTATTAATAGGTGGATGATTTTTATTATGTTGAAATATATTATTTATTTCTGTTATTTCATTATCATATTGTTTTAAAATATCAACAAATCGTTTGTTCATTTCATCTTGTATAGTTGTACGAGTATTATTTTTTTCGAATTTCAATAACATATCAAAAGCACTTTCCGCTGATCTATAAAAACAGAATTATTGTATATTAGAATAGATTTTTCTTTACCGTAAACTTTTGAATGATTCAGATGTAAAACTTTTTGTTTGTTCATCAATTTCTTCGATTTGTGTCGTATAATTAGCTAATACCATTTTCCATTTTTCATAATCTTCAATACGAAATGGATCACACGGGGCCTAAACAAAAAAAACGAAAATAAGATCGGAGTTTTTTTTTCTTAAAATATTTACATTTTCAATTGATTGAAGAACTTTATGTACACGATCAAGAATTTCATTGATTTTTTGTGGTTTTCCTGTAACTGATTTAAGTTCAGGTGTAAATATACCATAAAATTCATCAAGTTCTTTTGCAATTGCAATAAAATCATCACAAGTACGTGCCATATGATCAGTTAATCGAAATAAACGTTTATTATCAAATTCCCAACGAGAATCTCGTCCAGATTGTTCAATTTCAGCTCGAACTTCATAATATGACTAAAAATAAATGTAAATTTTAAGACAAAAAGAAAAATTATTTTAATATTTGATTTACTTGTTTCCAACGTTCTAACATTATTTTTGCTTCGGTACATTTTTCAATAATTTCATTTGGTTGATAACTAAATAATGTTCGAACATTAATTAAACGTGCAACACGTTCAGATAATTGATTAGCAATACGTTCCATTAATGGGACCATACGTTCATCACGATTATAATGTCGTGAAATAATCCAAACCATACGTAATGCACTCATCATTTTTGGTATAGTTTCACTAACAACACGAAATGTGGCGCCATGTGTGACATTTTTAAAATGACGTTCAAGTGTTGATAAAAATTTGACATTATCTTTTGATTCGAAATAATATTTCGATAGATCAGTACGAGTATCACGAAATGATGATGGTGCTGCATTTTCTGCTATTTCAAGTTTTTCAAGTACTTTTTCAACATGTTCTTGTTTTGTTTGTTCATATAAACTACTCAATGTAATATTACGTTCACGCCACCAATCAATTTCACCTAATGGTCCAGGTGATTGTGGTGTCTAAAAAAGAAGTAATTAGAATGAAGGATTTTGTGTTTCATTTTATTTTTACTTTTTTCAATTCGCGTTCAAGTGCTTCGCGAATATCACCATTCCATTTGTAGACAAGAGTTTCAGCTTGTTCAATCATATCTTTATTTGATCTGACGACTTTTTCTACTTCAAAATCTTTTGGTAATTCAAGGCGTACTTCGCCTTCAAGTTGACGAAGTGTTAAACCGATTTGATTAAGAAATTTTTGTAATTGAATTAAAAATTCATCACGTAACATTAACTTTAATTCTTGTTCATGTTGACGACGCTAGTTAATAAAAGAAATATTTATTAAGAAAAAAAAAATAATTAATTTTAATCAAACTTTTTCGTCTCGAAGTTGTTTTTCAGTTTCTTCGGCAGTTTTTTCAGTTTTAGCTTTTCGTTTTTCATGAGCATCAGTAACAGCATCTGGTCGATGTGAATCGGAAGCCTCTATGTCGTCAGTTTGATATGTTAATATTGGATTATAAACCTACAAGCAAAAAAAAAGAAAGATATTGTGAGTTAATTTAGATGATAATATTACTTTATTCAGTATATTTGCAAGTAAATATAATGTATGGCCATTCAATAGACCATAATCAAGATATTTTATCATTATTTTATCAGCATCTTCCATGGTCGTTAGTTCAGGTATTGTTCCTTGTGTTGTACGTAAAAAATAGACACAATTTTTTTGACTTAAATTGGATGGATAGCTATCGTGGCATAAATAAAGTATCGTTCGAAGATACATGACTTGTTCTTTACGCTAAACCAAAGAAAATAGTTGTTTGATTTGGTAGAAAAAACAATATTAAATTAAACTTACATATCGTTTTGGTTTTGGTGGTAATTCTGGTGAATTTTCACCTTCAGCAGTTGATCCGTCACCATGTTCTGATTTTAATGCATCATTGCCAGCTGGAGGATGTTGTTCATCACCACCATTCGTTGTACCAGCTGCTTCTTCATTTGGATCAAAATCTGGATTATTAGCCATTTGTTCTTCAATCCATTCTTCTTCGGCTAAAAAAAAGAGTAGATTTTATTTTCTAATATAATTAACTATTATTACTAATTTCAACATCTTCTTCACATAATTCTTCAAAAACTTCTTTATGAAATATTAAAGCATTTTCATCATCAACATTTGATTTGGCTTCATTAAAGAATTTCGCAACAACTAATTCATTTGCACCATCATGACTTTCCAAGAAAGATTCGAAGGCTGGATCAGTTTCATTAATATCTAATATCGTATAAATTGATTCTTTTAACCAACGGAATCGTAGATCATCCATTGATTTTGTTTCGAGAAAAAGTTTAAATGAATATACAATAAAATAAATAGAAACTCAATGTTTTAAGTGCGAATTTGCCATTAATATTCTTCGTTTCTAAGGAACAGACGCTCTCATGATAAATGTCGCTAATAGTCATGAGATATTTATATTCCTATATGCAAAATAAATAAATATTCTTCAAAAGATAAAGAACTTTTTTCGTTTGATTTTTAATTAGAATTAAAAAAATTCGATTTCATTTGATTGATTGTACCAATTTATTGCTTCGTCATTTATCAATCTCACCTGAATTATTTATCGCAATGCGATGGCTAAAAGTGGCTTTATGCCTGCATGGATGAAAATTTCCAATTCAGATGTATATATATATATGAATTTATTAAAACTTGTAAAATTCTTTTCTATAGAAAACAAATCCTAATCAAAAATATACTAATGAACAATCTCAACATTCATATGGAAAAGTAAGATTTAAAATATCTTGAAAGTGTCTCCCTAAGGGAATGTTTTTTTTGTTTGTTCTTGAGTGTTTTTACATTATGCAACCTGTTGTATTATAGGATATAGATATAAATTCTCAACGTCGTCTACATCTTTTACCAACAAATTTAGATAAACGTAGCCGTTTTTTGAATTCTAAAACAATATTACTTTTATTGTCTGTACCAGAAACAACAGAAGAAAAAGAGTTGAGTAATAGGATTTAAATAGGAAACTTTATTTTTTTGAATCATTTAGATTATTAATACGTATGGGTTGGAATAATGATATGACTTATGAAATAACAGATACTGATAAAGAAGAATATGAAAAACAAATTAAATATTTTCCAAAATTAAATTTAAATAATCGATCCTCAGTATTAATGTCCGCTTTAAATCGTCGTGCATTACCTTATATAAATATTCAAGATATATTTCAACATGAAATGATTGATTCACAATCAGATGATGACGATTAATATTCGTTTTTGCTTTTAATAAAAATAACAAACCGGTTTTCTTTCCTTTTATTTGCATTTGTTCTTTGTACTTTTTCATTTTCTGAACAAACTTTCCAATTGATGTAATCTGTCATACATCAACAAAATAATATAATCATTTATTTTATATATCTCACATCGTTTCTTTTTTTTTAAATATATAAAAAAAGGTGGGAAAGCACGAAAAGGAAGAAGATATCTTTTACAGATTTATGACATTAGACGAATTAATAAACAATGACGATGTAAAATTGTGGGTGGAATGTCATTTGATATGCGAAAAACAAAAAAAAACGATCATGATTTTGTGTTAAGAAATAATCAAATAATGGCCTTACAGATACTATATATAACTAATATACTGCTAAATCGATTAAGTCAAAAGAAAAAGAATGCTTACAACTATTATTATTTCGTGTTTCGTACTTACTATTACTGGTTTACCGGTAAATATCAATCCAGAATTGAACGGTAAAATAAAAGCAATATTTCGATATATATATGATTAATATCTTATAAATTAGGTGGTGGTTTTGAAGGTGATATACTCTTTCCACCTAATTCTGATACAAGTCGTGGCGCTGCTTTCTATGGGAACTATCGTCGTTGGCCAAATAAAATAATTCCATATGATATATCAGCTATAACAACTAATGATCGAACAACAATTATCAATGCTATGAATCAATTAATGTACGATGTTGGAACACCTATACCAGGTAATCTAGCACGACAAGTCTGCGTTTTTTTT